TGAACCTTATAATCTAGGGCTAGTTAGCTGATAACAAAGATTTGTAGGTAAATTAGTAAAATAACAAAAAGAGATGAGATTTCCTTGCAAAACAATAGGTTGGTTTTTTTCATCTAAAATATTATATTGATCACCGGTTGAAATTCATAGTTATAATACATGATTGAAATACAAGGGTAGAATGCGATGATGAAATACGAGGGTGGGATACGAGAACGGAAAACATTCCGAGTACCAAAAGACAAATCCTAAAACCGAAAGACCAAACTATATCTAGGAAGACATGATACCACCAAAATTAAAAATCCAAGCAATATAACTCCAAACCTGACGAAGCTAAATCACCTCCATCCATTGAATCACCAAGCCTTAGAACACAAGCTTCGAAAAGCATAGAAAAAGGGACGATGCAGCTGCAACCGCACACGAGAAGACTTCACCAAATCTTGAGTCAAAAACTAAACCAAGTAAGAGTGACTCGAGCCAATAAAACCAAGAAGAAGAGATCACCAACAAGCCAATTTAGAACTCAATCAAATCTGAAGTTTCTTCATATTGAATACAACCCAAACCTCGAAGGCTTGGCGTTGGTAAGCATAAATGCCAATAGAAGAATTATTCGACAAGCGGATAGAGAAGATACTAAACAACCAGCTAGACGAGGAAACAACCTCGAAATCATCTTCTCACCAACGAAAGAGTCACACATAAATAGCAGCACCAAGACAACACCTTAACCTTAAGCAAGACCAGGAGACAACGACGACAAAAGCATACAGATCATTCGGAGGAGAGATAGCTTGGACCAAACTCAGTGAAAAAAATTAACCTAGACATATATAGATTGATTGCTAAAGCAAACTAAAAGGATTCTGCATCGAGGAAGATAATCCAAGGCCATCGGCAACAAGAATGAGACTCTCCACAATCACAATCAACAAAGACACTTAGCTACAAGGCTAGAGTCCGCCTAATACCAACCCAAATCGATACCAAAGGACAAGACCCCAGCAGATCTGGACCTGAAAGCTATGAATCAGAGAGACCAATACCTTGTACCACCAGGTGAGTAGCCGATTCACCGCAAGACTCACTGACAAACTAGCCGACGAACCGAGAGAAGCACCAACTGTACTCGATCGTACTCGATCACTCACCAGGCTAGACCTCGAGATCTCACTACCGGAACACAAGAGACCCCCTCGCCGAAAACTACAAAAACCGATACCAACAGAGTATGAGAAACCAAACCCGACCGACGGCGGAGCTAATGGAGCCTCAGACCGGCGGCCGAGCCAAACACAAGATCGCTTCTTCTTTCTCTCTCTAGCGGCTAGGGCGAACAATAGGTTGGTTAGCTAAGGTTTTGTTATTTTCCTAATTATCCATAAATTCTTAGAGAAAAAAATATCTCTTTGTCCACTCCACAGACTTGTTTATAGAGGGTATATTTTTTTCAAACTAGGAGTTTGTTGACTGAAAGATAATAAACAAGGAGTTCATAACCCTTTTAAGTAATAATAAAAATACTCAGGCGAAATTGCAATTTTCAGAAGTTAACTTGCCGATGCTTTAAAACCCTAAAAACCTAAACTTTACAACGACTCTCGCTCGGCCGTTTCAACACCATTCCCGTAAACAACAACAACGAAAAATGGCTGGAGAAAAGCAAGAGCTTCCCGTCTCGGGCGAGAGTCCGATGACAGACACAACCACCAAGTCA